TCTCCCTCTACCCTCCCAGTATCGCCGCTCACACCACTGGTCCTGTAGGGCTCATCCGCCCTGGATTCCCTGGATTTTCTCGCCGTCCTCCTTTCTAAGGAGCATTCTTGATGTACTGCTTCCAGGACCGATCTGGTTGTTCTCGCAGTCATACTCTTTTCTTCTTTGTTTAATCATTTTATTGGGGAGTCATTATTTTCAGTAGTCTGTGCCAACACCGTCATTCAAAGGCATCGCGTTCTCTCTGGTCGTCCTGAGTATCCATGTCCAGCTTTGCATGCACGTGAAGAGAACGAAAAGAAGATGGCACCCAGCTTTTGTTGCTGGCTGCTGCTGAGTCGGGTCCAACCCTTAGTCCCCCTGGGTACTACAGAATCAAAGGTTGCCCGGTCCTGAACCAACTTTCCAGTTCTCGTTATGGTTGAGCCCATCGTTGCCGCCACTGTGCCAATCCATCTCCTGGAGGGTCTTCCTCTTTCATGAACCCTCAATAGGACTGCCCAAGGTATGTGAGATGACGTCTCGCCATCCTTGTTTCTACGGAGCATTCTGGCTGCATTTCCAGGAGAGACTTGTTCTTCTGGTAGGCCATGGTACTTTCAACATTCTTTGCAAATATCATAATGCAAATCATTATCAATTCTTCTTTACTCTTCCTTATTCATGGTCCAGCTTGGGTATGCATATGGGACTATTGAAAATAGCACAGCTAAGGAGGTCAGGCACTCCTTAATCCTCAAAGTGACATTTTTGCTCTTTAAATGGGTCTCATGCAGAAGAGTTACCCAATGCAATGTTCCTTGGATTTCTTAACTGCTGTTTTCGTGAGGGTTGGTGGGGAGCCAAGTGAAATGAAATCCTTGATGACTTCAATACACCCTCCCCTTTTAAGATAACAAATCGTTTTATTGGGGCTCTTACATATAACAATTCATACATCCATTATAACAAGTGGACATGTAGAAATGTTAGCATCAATAATTTCAAAACATTATCTTTCTTCTTGAGCCTTTGATATCAGCTCTTTATTCCCGCCTTCACCCACCCTACCACCCCCGCGAATCCTCTGTGTATTATTATTTATATATATCTTACATAGCCCATACTATCCCTTCACCTATCCTTGAGCGGCAGTCGCCCCCCTCAAGGGGGGGGTAATCCCCCCATCATTGCTATCCGTTCCCCCTTCCGCACCTTCCTCCCCCTTCCATTTCCCTACTTTCCTGGAATCATTACTCCGATTACTGTTTCTAAGGGGGTTTGCCTATCTTGAATTCCATATATTGAAAGCTCTCATCTGTACCGGTGTATGTACACCAGTCTAGCAGGATTTGTGAGGTAGGACTGAGATCATAATAGTGGGGGGAAGAAGGATTAAAT